ATAATAGAACTTCTTCTGTCGAGGGAGATATTATTTTCTGGAGATCTTCTCGTCCCATCAATTGGATCCGATATCTTTTCATTAGTGGGGTCTGTTGTTAATCTGGCAGAAGTTTGCCGGACGTTATTTTTAGTAATTTTATTATTAATAGGCAGTTCCTATAATAAAGTTAATATAATATGTCAATAAAAATATTCAAAATAAAGAAACACAAATAAAATAAAAATAATATAAAGAAGGAATACGTAAAATGAATAATTATTACAATTAAAAAATAATTATTTTTCAATTCAACAATTTGAAAAAAATATGAAAACAATGGATTAAATAAATGCATAAAATGCTTTGTATTTGCCCCACTAGACGGACAAGATGGTAAATTCAATATATTGTAATATTTTCTAATCATTATCAATAAAAATATAATTAAAAATTAAAAAATACACTTATGGTACCCATCCACTAGGACATTTATGATCGAAGCAATCGAAAAAATGAGCAAGAGGCAGATACATGACAGTAACATGATGTCATAAGCAATATTCTCGATTTCGCAAGACATCGCCTATTATATGTTTCAACAAATATTATAAAAAAATTAACAGTACAAAGAATCGTTCGCACCCGACTTGAAGATTTTTATGCAGATCTATGGCGGAATGAAATGTTCTGACAGATGTCAGTTGAATGACGCCAATGTGATGACTAAACTGCACAGCATACTTTGGGCTACGCTGATGCGAATCTCGCATCTAGCAAGCTATAGTAGATTATTGTTTTTTTCACGATCGTTGAAATTGTCTCTCGGTTTTTCATCAATTGTCAAGCTAAAAATTGATATCTAAATTTATATAAAATCAGTTCCGTTAAAAATTGAGTTATCAATAAACTCACATTAAGATCGAGTCTACAAAAGTTAATTGCGGTTTCATTTCTAAACATAATTTAATAAATAATGGCGCCATAGATCTAAAATAAAATGATAAACATTTATTGTTCAGGCGACTAAAATGATTTTCGCGGTTCTGATGCTACCCATCCACTAGGCAACCAGGCAACCGAGTAATTTATGACCAAATGACCAATAACTGAGCCGCTCAGTGCACACATCGACTAACTCCATTTTTTGAAAAAACCGAGATATTAGTGCGAAGGTACTCAGTGTAATCATAACTGTTAGTGATAATAATGACTTTTCGGAATAATGAAAATGAACACTGTGAAACATAATTTTTTTTTTTTCATTTATTAACTTCCCGAAGGAGAAGTTTATGTTTTCATCAAAAAATCCGAATCGCTAATTTTATGTTTTCTCGACGTTTCGAGCCATTCTGAATCGAATGAGACCAAATTTGGAAAAAGTATGTGTGTGTGTGTGTGTGTATGTGTGTGTGTGTGTGTGTGTGAACAGATTTTTTGCCGTAAATCGACGTTTTCTCCAAAACGGTTGGACCGATTTCAAAAATTTAAAAGCCATTTGATGTATCTCGATGAGGACTATCGTCTCTGAGTTTTGTGCGGCGATCGGCCGGGCCGTTTCTTTGTAAATTGCAGAAAAGTGAAAAATTTTTCGTCCACGTTTTAGCCCGCAATTCTGAATCGATTCTAAAAATTCAAAAACCGTTCGATAGATATTGGTTGGGAATCGTGCTGATTAGTTTTTGGTAAAGATCGGCCGGGCCGTTTTCTTGTAATAAAGTTTTAAAAAAAAAAAATTTGACGATTTTCATGATTATTTTTTTAACGAAAGATACCATAGTTTTCTAGGTCATACTAAAATATTACGGCCCTACGACAACTGGTTCAGCTTTAAAAATTCGTCAAAGTTTGCAAAAATCAGTATGGTCTTTTTGGCATGTGTCAAAATTAGACTTTTGATCGACGTTTTCTCAAAAACGCCTGAACCGATTTTAGAAATTTAAAAGCCATTTGATGTATTTCGGTGAGGACTATCGTTTGTCAGTTTTGTGCAACGATCTGCCAAGCCGTTTCTTCGTAATTTGAAAAAAAGTGTTGAACTTTTCGTCCACATTTAAGCTCATCCTACCGAACCGATTTTAAAAAATCAAAAACTGTTCGAAAGATATTAGTTGGAAATGATGCTGATTAATTTTAGGTGAAAATCTACCGAGCCGTTTTCTTGTAATTAACTGTTGAAAAAAAGTGTTAAATTTTCGTCCACTTTTAAGCTCATCCTACCGAACCGATTTTAAAAAATCAAAAACTGTTCGAAAGATATTAGTTGGAAATGATGCTGATTAATTTTAGGTGAAAATCTACAGAGCCGTTTTCATGTAATTAACTGTTGAAAAAAAGTGTTAAATTTTCGTCCACATTTAAGCTCATCCTACCGAACCGATTTTAAAAAATCAAAAACTGTTCGAAAGATATCATTTGGGAATGATGCTGATTAATTTTAGGTGAAAATCTACCGAGCCGTTTTCTTGTAATTAACTGTTGAAAAAAAGTGTTAAATTTTCGTCCACATTTAAGCTCATCCTACCGAACCGATTTTAAAAAATCAAAAACTGTTCGAAAGATATCATTTGGGAATGATGCTGATTAATTTTAGGTGATAATCTACCGAGCCGTTTTCTTGTAATTAACTTTGAAAAAAAGTGTTAAATTTTCGTCCACATTTAAGCTCATCCTACCGAACCGATTTTGAAAAATCAAAAACTGTTCGAAAGATATCATTTGGGAATGATGCTGATTAATTTTAGGTGAAAATCTACCGAGCCGTTTTCTTGTAATTAAATGTTGAAAAAAAGTGTTAAATTTTCGTCCACATTTAAACTCATCCTACCGAACCGATTTTGAAAAATCAAAAACTGTTCGAAAGATATTAGATGGGAATGGTACTGATTAATTTTAGGTGAAAAACTACCGAGCCGTTTTCTTGTAATTAACTGTTAAAAAAAATTTAAGCCGTTTTTCATGGAACTTTTTTTGGCGATATACATCATGGTCTTATAGAACTTACTGTAATATTACGGCCTTACAACAAGTAGTTTAATTTTAAAAATTCGTCAAACTTTGCTAAAATTATTATCGTTTTTTTTTAAAGTAGGATTGATGAAGTATATTATTTACACATTTTTTTGATCAAGTCGATTATTTACACATATCGGGAAGTTCATGTAATTTGCCTCAAGGCTAAATACCAAACCAACTAGTTTCAGAAGACATTTTGATTAACTTCATTTTGTAGTGCACATGTTCCGGCTGGACCGGTTTTCGGGTTTCATGAATCACAAATAAGAATTTGATAAAAACATAAACCCTAAAATCGTTTGGCAAAAAAACTGTAGGATGGTCAAGGATGTTACAAACTTACATACTAAAATTCGTGTACCCGGCAAAACAGAAATATTAAAACTGTCTTAAGTTTATTGAAACTTGTTAAAAATACGGAAATAAGAGCTAAGTCAATTGAAATGAAATTTCTGGTCAGTGGAAATAGCTATTTACCTATTGACTCTAAATTATTGAGTCACGTGCAAAAAAAATCGAGACATTTTTTCACTAGATAATTGGTACAATATAATAAAAACATGTAAAAGGAAAGCGCCATTTTAGTTAATCCAAATATTCCACGAAGATTTTTTATCAACAAAGCCATTAGAACAATCACTAACAGAAAAGTAACCATTACAGAGTGTCCAGTAAATTTGCTTACAATACGCTGGATAAAGTTAGAAATCTTATATAAGCCAATCTTATATAATTTAAATGTGTCTATAATGAAGATACGTATTTTAAAGCTATTAATATAAGAAAGTCTGTACCAGGTTGACCAAAATGTTTGAATAATATACAATAGTCGTTATTATATTATAAAGCTAGAACTTTGAAAAAGGAAAAATTGAGAGACATAAAGGACTTGCTAAAATTCATTCCCCCCACTACGAAAAATTGACAGAAATTATTCTAATCATCATAGAATACAGCTGATAGAGAAAATATTATTTATAGAATTACTGATTAATCACAAATAATATATTACAACAGTTAACATTTATTTTTATGAAAATGCTTTAACACAAATATGTAAGAATTAGGTTTATTATTTTTTTTCAGTTGACAACTTGAAGTCATATCAAATCTTTAACTTGAATTATAATTATTTACTCACTATTTACTGTAATTAACCTTATATACCGTCACATGTAAGCTATATATGTATTTATACGTTCTACATTATATTTTCCAATTTATATTATTACAGGAATTTTTAAAAGCAATGTGCATTACTTCATCGCTTTTCTCCACTTTCTGTTTTTTGGAGTTAGTCACTGTGTGCACTGAACGGCTCAAATGTCCAGTTGTAAAAAATTTCGGTGTCTCAGGCGATCGAACAAAATTTCATTCATATTTCTTGAACATTAGAGAACAAAGTATGTAAATTTCGAACGTGAAATGAGATAAAATCGACGTTTGTTGCAAATTTTAGTTCGTTTTCATTTTATTTAAACATTTATTTTTTATATAAAAATCATATTGAACTTATTCATATTAAATTAATGTTGTACATTTGCAACAGATGAATTTGGAATGAATTTTGTCGCAAATATATAGCTTAAAATATTGTTCAAATGTAGACCAATAGCAAGCATAACAATTCACGATTTACATTATATTAGAACCTAATTTTAACCTGAAACATGGCCTTTAATCTTGGAATCTACATTTACAATAATGCAGATACGAGAAAGAGTCATGCAATGTGGATTTTATAAGTGAAATTAAATTCCAAACCCATGACTCATATTTTTTGAGGTGCAATTAAAAACGGACAACTTTTAAAACAAATTCAATATTATATTTATTTTTGAAGGAAAAAACACGAATTAAAATCAATTTTTTATTCATATGAATAAAATGTGGAAAACTTTATGTATGTATGTATTTTCCCAGTATAATCAATTTTTTGTACTATATAAAATTTTTTTATAAGATATTAATACATCGCATTGCCGTTCTTACTATATTCATTTCTATATAGAGAACTAAGCGTCCGATTTGAATGATTCAAAGAACTTTCTGCTTGTTTTAACAAAATAATTGATTTTGGAAAAAAAAATTTAACTTCCCGTAGGGTAAGTTATTGTAATGGGCCGAAAATCGAAATTGAAATTTTTTACATTTCTCGACGTTT